GCAATGTACGAGAGATCGTAGCCTAGAATGTGCGGACACCTCGTAATTTACAAGGGGTCGTGGCCTCGATGGCAAGAACACCTGGTTATTTTCAAGGGATCGTGGCTTCGATGGTACACGAGCGCCCCTTGCATTAAAATCTGATGCCGCCAGGGGCCCCGGCAACAAAATTTGATGTTGCGGGCGGCCCTGTCATTAAAATCTACTACCACCAGGCGCCGTGGCATCAAAACCTGATGCCGCCAGCGGCCCTGGCATCAAGTTCTGAGGGCCCCTGGCGGCATCAGATTTTGATGCCAGGGTCTCTGGCGACAGCAGATTTAAATGCCAGGGCCCCTGGCGGCATCAGATTTTGATGCCGGGGCCTCTGGCGGCATCAGATTTTGATGCCGGGGCCCTTGGCGGCATCAGATTTTAATGCCAGGCCCCTAGCGGCCACAGATTTTGATGCCGGGGCCTCTGGCGGCATCAGATTTAAATGGCAGGGCCCCTGGCGGCCCCAGATTTTGATGCCGGGGCCCCTGGCGGCATCAGATTTCGTTGCCAGCTTCTGGCGGCATCGGATTTTGATGCTGGGGCCCATGGCGGCATTAGAGTCTGACGCTGGGGCCCCTGGCGGCATCAGATTTTGATGCCGGGCTCCCTTGCGGCATCAGATTTTGATGCCAGGGCCCTTGGCGTCATCAGATTTTGATGCCGGGGCCCTTGGCGGCTTCAGATTTTGATGCCAGGGCCTGGCGGCATCAGATTTTGATGCCCGGGCCCGTGGCGGCATCCGATTTAATTGCCAGGGCCCCTGGCGGCATCAGATTTTGATGCTGGGGCCCCTGGCGGCATCAGATTTTGATGCTGGGGCCCCGCCAGGGACCCTGGCGGCATCAGGTTTTGATGCCCGGGGCCCCTTGGCGGCCTCAGATTTTGATGCCGGGGCCCCTGGCGGCATCAGATTTTGATGCCGGGGTCCCTGGCGGCATCAGATTTTGATGCCGGGGCCCCCGGCGGCATCAAATTTTGACGCCAGGGCGTCCGCCGCGTCAGATTTCGATGCCAAGGGTTTCTGGCGGCATCAGATTTTGATGCAAGGGCCGCTGGCGACATCAGATTGTAGCTAGCAGGCGACACGCCTAGGAAGCAAGCGAGCAGGTCTTCATCACCTCTCATTTGCAACTCGCAGGAGGAATTTGAACTGAGCGGAATTGGAAATGAGAGGAATTAGAAGTGAGCCCTTGGTAAGCTGGGTCTCAAGTTACGGGACCCAGAAATATACACCACCACCACCACCACCACCACCACCACCACCACCACCACCACCACCACCACCACCACCACCACCACCACCACCACCACCACCACCACCACCACCACCACCACCACCACCACCCCCACCACCACCACCACCACCACCACCACCACCACCACCACCACCACCACCACCACCACCACCACCACCACCACCACCACCACCACCACCACCACCACCACCACCACCACCACCACCACCACCACCACCACCACCACCACCACCAACCACCACCACCACCACCACCAC